TCCAATTAAGCAAAACATTAAGGTATATGACTTTTGAAGAGGGCAACTTACTGATGATGGAGTTTCTTGCAAAGAAGTAAAATGAGACTTTGGGATGACAAGCGAGTGCCTGCAAAAGTTATGGACATTATTGGACTAGATATATTGATAAAAAAAGATAATAAGGCTAATCACACTTTTTCAGCTATATTAATTTGGTAAACTAAGATGAATAACAAACTATAGATTTCAATATATTAGCTCCAGGAACATGAAACTTGCTTCTCAGTGGAAGTTCCTTAGATAAGTCGACTTAGCTGTTGTTTGACCCATGTGAGTAAATTATCTTTAATTAGGATACAAGCAAAACTAAAAATCAGCACACCTATAGTCGAATTTATGTAGTTCAAACTTGGCTGTTGTAAATTCTTCTCTCTTTTTTCCTTTCATATTTGAGCAAAATAGACTGAACTCTTCCATTTATCAGGAAAAAAGAGTAAAATGGTTCAAGAATGTGCAACATATTCCCTTTTTGTTCATAAACTGAATGCATAAGGAATTTTCCTTGAATTACCATTCTATTACTAATTTCCTATCATGGTCCCAATGTGGCAGGTCAGGTTTTCAGCAAACACACCAAAAAGAATCAACTCAGATGACATGATGCATATGCTGGGATAAACGGATCTTCCAATGTCAAGATAGCAAGAAATACATTCATAAGATGCCGAAATAGATAATGGTCGGAAGAAGATACCTTACCCAAAACACAATGGGTTTGCATCCAAAATGCAGAGGCATACATCATCCTCATAGACCTGTAGTTAAATCAAACTGCACCAAGAATTACAAAAGTAGCACAAAGCAGAGGCATTGTTCCACATCATTTACCCCTTCTATCTCCACCCTTTGAATATCTCAGAGTATAGAAAATTTTCTCTTCAGGCAAAGAATAATAAACAGAGGAAAATGCAATGTAAAAGGACACTAGAAATATCTTTGTAGTAAATAGCTTTTCATTTCATCTACCTTTCGACAACTTGTTTGCAAGTACACAATGTATAAGAAGCAAGACTGAGAAGAGCATGTAACCATTTCAACTCCTTTTTAAGGATATTACGGTATCTGGCCAGCTTGCACACTCCTAAGCTAACGAGCAGGTTACACACTCCTCAACCAACCTAAGGGTACCTGATACATAACTGTGCTAGATGGGAAAAAGTCACCTAATATAACCTCTACTGGAACTCGAATCTTGGTTCCAAGGTCGTTACTCTAACTCTTTTGACTGTTAGGTCATCCCACTGGGGTATCCAATTAAATTATTTCTCATGAGTCAATCAGTAGCTATCGTTGTAATTACTTATTCTCACAAAAAGTCTGCAACTTTTTATCACAATAAATTTTGTCCTTAGACTCAGCCTTTGAAGCTTTCATTATCACAATCAACAAGTTGGGAGCTTATGAACGTTTTGTGCTTTACAATTGTTGATACTTAAAGTAATACAAGATTTCAAAACCAGAGTTAGTAACTCTGCAGAATATCTAGTTTGTGAAACTTGGCTTTGCCTATCAAGTTGCTTCCTTTAAATGATACCTCTTGCTGCAGTAAAAATGACCCTTGAAACCAACAAATCCTAAAACTAAAGTAATAAAAAGAGGACTATCCAAGATCATACAAGGAGACAACAACTTGTGCCATTAACAAACATGGATACTCCAAGAACACCTCTCCCCACACCCCTGCCCCATGCTCAGGAAGATGAACATCTCCTGTGTGAATAACATAGCATGGTGCACAACTTGGTAAATACAACAATAGGACAGGTTCAACACGAATGCCATATAAAGAAAGCAGATACTTGGCTTAGCATAATCTTAAAAGCTAACTTAGGAAGTGAAAGATTGTCCAAAACTATATAAAGCCATAACAACTCATTCCATCAACCAATGTAGGTTACTCTATCACTTGCCCGCACCTACAGGGTAGATAACTCCAACAACTCTGAAACTTGAAGAATAGCTTATTCATTAACTAATAAGTTCCACTTATTCTTTTATAAACCTGTTCTTTGTTTTCTGTCAAATAATCGCGGTGTCCGGGCCAACTTGCACATAACTCAACTAATTCCACGAGTTACCTGCTATTTCCCACCAATTCAGGTACAGGGTAAACTCTGTTCACTAAGGCTAGTACAGCTTATATAAACCTGTTCTTTTGGTATCTCATACTAATTTAGTTAAGACATCCATCAGTAGAATGCCTAATTTAGAAACAATCATGTTAGTAATGTACCTAAAATGAGCGTACTGTACCCAAAAGGGGATCATCATGTACCAGTGCTTACAGGCCATTCAAATATACTCTTCCAAACCCATAAGTTAAATACGAATCAAATACCAAAATCACCTCAAACCAAACATTCTACTTTCTAATTGGTGTAGTAGTCATTAACAATTCACAAAATTGAAGGTGGAATTAGTTTCAAAGACTGTTCTTTTACTCAAAAGGGTTCCATTAAAACAGCTGAATAACTATAAAATCGACCCCAATTCGATTATAGAAACTAATTGAAAACAAATACAAATTGACCCAAGTGAGGAAACCGGATGTTTAACAAATGTGATAATAAGGACTGTACCTTTAAAGCAGGTGCTTTACCTCGAACAATCATACAGAAAACACACCCATTTTCATGATTTTCACCATCGGTGGAGCTGCAACTGAATGGCGACACTTGAAGAGACGAGCAATGAGTACGAAAATGGGAAGAGATAAGAGAAAGACGACGAAGCGCAGTTGCAGTTGAAGTTGCCTCCATTAAATTAATTTGAAGATAAAAAACAAGAATATTTGGTAGAAATGGAACTGTATAGCCATTGATTTTTCTCTCGGGAAAATCGAGGAAGAAGACAAACAAAGGAAGGCCACAAGAGGGGCCCTACTAGTGGTTGGTTCCGCCTTATCCACGCTTTCTAAGGTTGGGATGTACACACTCTTGTCCATTCTTTAACCGAGACGAATCAGAATTTTATGTTACTGAGTTTTAATTTTTTTAAAAAAAATTAAAAATAAATAATGATCTTAATATAAACTAACAATTATCAAGTTAACGAATAAATATAAATATTAAATTCACTAAAAATGAAGAAAAATAAAAATAAAAAGGGAAAGATAAAAATACACTCCGAAGACAAGATGTTGAACAGCAGCAATTAGATCAACCATAAAAGTTAGAACCCTAACGTTTGGAGGAAAAAAAATTGAATTAAACTTTTTCAATGTAAATTAAAAATCAATAGTAAGAGATTGTAGTTTCATAGTACGATACAAATACTATTTTCCTTCTGTTTTTTTTTCATTTAACAATTTTTGCTTTTTAAAAAAAAAAATTATAGAAATCCACCTAGGTTTTTAATGGATTCTTACCGATTTTTTATTTTTTTAAAAAAATAATTACAACACAAATATTATTTCCTTACTCATATTCTATTTTTTATGCACTTTTATACAAACACACGTTTAGAAATTAATCCAAAAATCTATATGCGCCTATCGAGAATCAAACCTACGCCCTGCGGGAGGCGAATGACATAGTTGGGTGCCCGGCGACATGGGCCAAACGCTTCAATGTGTATGGGTTCGGAGGGATATATATATATTGTATTTCATATTTTAATACAAATATAGAATCTACGAAAAAGCTAGTGGATTTCGTCAAATCCCCTTCCGCTACAGTAGCTCCGCCTCTGATTTCCTAACTACAATTTTTCCTTATGAAAATGGTTGCGATAAAGGGATAAGTACTCATATGTTCTTAATAAAAAGAGATTTTACGTTTGAGTTACTTTAAGTATGGAGTCGTTTTTGTTAGGAAGCAATTTACCTTATATCGGGGTGAATTTAAATTTAGTCGGGCTCTAATATAGGTATAGAACACCAAATGGGAAATCAAGAAAAAAAAACTACAATTTCGTTAACCAATGGGTTCCGCTCAATCCTATATTTTGAAGTTAAAACTTAAAATTGTATATTTTGCAATGGGATATTGTGGTTGTAGGGATGTTCATGGTTCGATTTGGATTGATTATTGGTTAAAATCAAAACCAAATCAATTTAGTTGGATTTTAAATTTCTAATATTAAACCTAATGAAAAAAATAACTATTCGTTTGGCTGTTGTCGGTTTGATTCGAATTTTTTGATATTTTCATTTTAGAAGTATAAAATTAATTTTTTTAAGAGCATATGCATCTCGATAGACACACACTTAATACATGAACAATCTACCAAAAAAATATTATGGATTTAATTAAAGAATGTTAAGAGTTATTATTGCATAAATAAAGTAATTCAATTAAGAGAAAGTTTGACTATCTAATGTGACATAAGGTAAGTAAAGATGAAAGTAATAGATTTTTCATGGACTTGGTCTTATGATTTTAATAGCTGGGCCAAAATCTAAGTGTTGGGTTTGAGAAAATGGTAAAGTTTAATATATAAATACGGAAATGACAGAAATTCCACCATTAAGATCTCTTATTACCATTATTCCCTATTAATTTTACAAATCCCAAAATTCCTCATTTTCACTCATCAGATTAATGTATCAGCGCATCAAATTAATGTATCTCGAGCATCATATAAGTGTATCATGTATAAAATGTACATCAAATTAGTGTATCATGTATAACATGTAATGTATCTTACTTAACGATTAATATATCTCGCGCATCAGATTAATGTATCAACGCTTATATTATTGTAACAGTTTGAGGGATTTTGTAAATATAAACTTATAAGGGACAAATGGTAATTTTACCTTAAAAGTATTGTAATTTTTGTCTTTTGTCCTATAAATAATTATAAAATTTGTATATATAATTTCTCCATTCTCTTTGGTGTTTTTACTGTTTTTTCTTAGTAAAATCAAAATTAAATTAAATGGTATTGATTTTCATAAACATGTAAATACAGTAGAATAATAGAATAGCAAAAAGAAGATTGCCAAAAATTGGATAGAAATAGTAACATATGGATATTTGCAGTCAAGTTAACACAAGCATTGATAACAAACAAGACACTCTCAGTACTAAAAACTTGAGTGTAGCTGCAGGAGTACTTCTTGACTATGTCTCTATTTACAAAGCCATTCCCAAGTAAAGAGAAAAAGATATTTACAGTTACATAGTTGTCATATATTTTCTTTTGGTATTTACCAAATTGAAACTTTACAGAGCAAGTAAGCAAGATCTAGTTCAAGTAACTTCTTTAAAAAGCAGAATCTTGATCTTGAGTTTTTTCTTTTTCTTGTTTGTCCATCGCTTGGCTCCTCTAACTAAGACTCATTTGTCCAAATTCTGCAGAAATTGGTTGGATTAGTACACTAGAAGTTGCAGCAGCAGCAGCATGAGTAAGAGCAGCCCTACCGAATCTCGATAGTTTAGGCTTTCCATGAACATTCCCCTTGCTAGAATTTCTTACTCCGCCACTTTGTGAAGACGTGACCAGTTTTAAGGCATTCAAGTTTTTGGTGCCTTTGACGCCATTTATGTGATGAGCAGGCGATGAAACTGCAAAAAAGGAAGGAAAAGAAAACACATGGTTTGTGAGAACACGAAAAATTGAACTTTTGTCACAAACCATTTTTTTTGTAGCAGAAGTACTTTCCAGTGTGAGATGAAGTGGTGGCTCGGTGAAGGCGACACTTGAATGAGCCAGGGTGGGTGGCGGGTGCACATAGGCAAATCTTCTTTGACGTTGATGACGAAACTGATAAGAAGAACAAAACATATGGTTTGTGAGAACACGAAAAATTGAATGTTTCTTATCACGATCCTTTATTCTTCATACATAGCAAAAGTATTTACCGGTTCTCGGGTGAGCTGAAGTGGTGGCTCGGTGAAGACGACATTTGAATGAGTCAGGGTGGGTTGGGGGTGCACATACACAAAACTTCATTGATGCTGCAGCACTACTAGTAGCTTTAGACTTGCTGATTCTTTCTTTTTTCTTGTTCGTCTCTTTAGCTAGTATGAGACTTGATTTCAATCCCTTCTCCATCATATTATGACTGGCAAATGCACCAACAATGTGAAACAGATTCAATTCTTGATGTTTATCATCAAACATTAAAAATAAAAACAAATGGCATAGTACATTTTCAAGAAGAGGCGAATTCAAGATCTTAAATCACTTGCACTTAAGAATGACACTTCTCAGATGAACTTCTCATTTTGTGCTTAATGACATGCTCTTACTGGCGTTTAGACAAGTCTAATGTACTTCCGGTATGCACCTACAGTTCTTTTTCTTTCTTTTAAAGCTTTGTATCAAGTCAAATACTGTCATACATAAAGTGTAACAGAATGAGTAGAATTTGGTGACACTGAATGCAAAAAACAAGATAAATATACATTCTTAGAAAATATTCAACTTAAATAGTTCAAACATAGATCAATTCAAATACCACAGCCACTAATCACAAAACCAGGTTCTGGTTAAAAACAGGGACTAATAATCTAATATTCAAATTTACAAACAAATGGAAAGTTTACGACACTAGTCCCTTTTCAAGTTGTTCCAAAAAGATTGACTAATTCGCAAAAATCTTTTCAGTTTAAACTTCTCATTTTGCGCATAATGACATTGCTCTTATAGGCATATAAATATCAAATTTAAGAGTACAAGTCTAATGGGGCTTAAATGTTCTCTTTCTTTCTTTTAGACTACATGTCAAATCAAATTCCGCCATATAAAATGAAACAGAATGAGTAGTAGTGATGTAGACACAAACTTAAATAAAAAGGAGAACAAAAACAAGAAGAAGTAGTGATGTAGACACAAACTTCCAACAATTAAAGCAGAGCACAAAGAAGAAGCCAAAAATGAGCCAACAAAAACACAAATGCTACTCAAATAGTAATCCACTCTCATCTTCAAGGAAGAAATACAATCAATACACAAAAAGACAGATTTTTTGGGGGAAAAGAAACGACTGAACCAACAACATATCCAATATAATTCCACAAGTGAGTTTTGTGGAAGGTGGTGCGCACATAATCTTACTCCTACCCTATACTGTGAAGGTAGATACTATTTCGGTAATGTTTGGATTGAAGTGATAATAATAACAACAACAACAAACCCCGCATAATCCCAAAAGTTGATCAAGCGAGGGTGCTCCTACAATGTGAACATAGAGAGGATGTTTCTAATAATGCTTAGATTGAAGCTATAACAACAAAAGCAACATGATGTGAACATAGTCTTACTCCTACCCTAAATTGCGAAGGTCGAGAGACTGTTTCCGAAAATGTTTGTATTGAAGCAACAACAAAGATAACAAACCCCGTGTAATCCCACGAGTTGATCATACGAGGGTGGTGTTTAAGCAGCCTTACCCCTACCCTATGAAAGGTCTGAGGTTGTTTTCTATAACCCGTCACATCAAATTTGCCCCATCAAGAGAACTTTTAATAAAACAGATAAATGAGAAAGAAAATGTTACCAAGATTTTGAAGAGGGTGATGAAGGAGGATGTGGGTCACCGAGAATCGGAATCACAGTGAAATCGAACACTCCCATTCTGCAAATCAGCTTAAAATCATCCAAAACCTCAACACTTGAACTTTTTTTCAAATTAAAAGGAACCCAAATCAGCTTCTTCTTCTCAGCGATTCTGAATACAGAGAGAGATAGAAACACAAGGAGAAGATATATACAACTTAGGAAAACAAATTATGGTAAGCAAACTAAAAAAGGAAAAATCGTAATTAGCCACAGAAAATGGTAACTCAAATATAAGAGAAGCCAAAATGAACCGACTAAAACAAAACAACACAAAATTCAAGAACATAGGGACTCTGAACCGTCACTGATCCATAGAGAGAACTTTAATCAAACAGATAACAGGCAATCACCGAGAAATTTTGAGGAGAATCAGAATCACAGTAAAATTGAACACTCACATTTTCGCAAATCAACTAATTAAACCCATCAGAAACTTCACCACGTGAAAGTCTTTGAAATTAAAAAGGAACCCTAAACAGCAGTTTCGTCTCTACGATTCCGAATACAGAGAGAGGGAGCAGATAAATACATATACACCCAAATTTCCTATCAATAAAACGAAGCAGAGAAGAAGACAAACTTCTAGAACAGAGTGACTGAACCGTTACTGATAAAAGTAGGATGAAACACGTGGGTCGTCATCTACAATCAAAATTACCAAATAAACTCATCAGAAACTAAACCCAAATCACCTTCGTCTCTACGTTTCTGAATACAGAGAGCGATAGGGTTACTGAACCGTCACTGATCAATTCTCCTCATGAACAAAACTTTAACCAAAGAGAAAATTACCAAGATTTTGAAGAGGATGATGAAGGAAAATGCGAGTCGTCATCTACAATCAAATTAAACACTCCCATTACAGCAAATCAACCAATAAAACTCATCAGAAACTTCAACACTTCGAATTTTTTTTTTTCGAAACCCAAATCTAACAACTTCGTCTCTGCAATTGTAAAAATTCAGATAAATGGGAAGAAAAGCAAATGTAAAGCATATATTGCATTATCGGATCTTATGTAACTAACTCTTGTCACCATTGCATTTCATTTTTTTGGCTTTTGACAAAGGATGGCGTGTATATCATTTTATTGTTATTGATACACTCTCGATTTAAGATTTAAAAAGGAATTTTTTATATATATTTATTATAATAAATTTAATTACGTTAATAGCTATGGTTTATATATTTACGCCTTGTAATTATGACTTAAGATGTCTCGTCTAATATAATTTACGGATTCATATAATTTGGAGGTTTATACATTTAGCATGTATATTTGTATAACTTAGTTAGTATTGCGTAAATTCAAAATAATGAATTTATAAAATTACAAATATCAGTTAACACTTGTGCAAATTATAATATATAAATTTCGAACTATGCACTTGTGAAAGGAATTTGTATTTATAGATTTAGAAATTTTTCAAAACAATCATTTGTATACCTCGTTTGCTAATATACAAACATGATAGTTTATTGTGAAATTTTCATAAATATTGTATAAATAGTTAGGATATAAACATTTATAAAATTTTGAATTTATGCAATCAGGATCGAATTAAATAAATTCTAGATTTATCCAAATCAGGTGAATTATACAATTCAAGCGAATATGAAGAATTCAGAAAACTATAGATGTGAATTTTTTTAATTTTCTTAAATTAAAGTTATAATACCTAATACATAATACATGTTAAATGTCTGATATTCTGAATACTATTCCTATTAAGAACCTCTAGTCTAATAACTATCATCTAGTTGTTCCACTATAAGGAGTCGTTTGATCGGACTCATTACTAATGCTTAATTACTTATATATTGTGTGATTTGGTGAATTAAAAATTAAATCTATTATATTAAAATATTTATGTATAAAGATATTCATCATAACTATAATAAAAAAAATGTACAAAAATTTTAAAGAGTAATGAAGTCTTTACCTACACTAATACATGCGAAATCTCCTTATAATACTAATATCTAAAATTTCATCATACTATAATATCTAATTAATAAGAGAGAGATATCAAACAAAACATTAAAATTATATTATACATTATTTTTATTAATACTCACTACCAAACAACACATAAAATTTAAAATATTTAATTTTTTAATCCACAAGTATCCTCGTAAAGTATCCGCAGAAAAGGTATTTATTCGTAACTTTATCGGACGCGTGTCCACATAGGTGTCATTTAAAAAAATACGTAAAGCATCAATTTTACACACTTTTCCTTCAACCATTAACCATTTTTAAATTTCATCACCATTTATATTGTGTTCATCTACACGCGTTTTAAACAGGGAAAATAATAAATTTAAATTTCACTGCATCAGTCTTCTATTAATTAGGAATAGTTTAAATAAGAGAATAACGGTTTTTGCTAAAATAGTTGAAAGTATAAATATATTAATTAGGAATAAGAGAATTAACAGTATTTGCTAAAATAGTTGAGAGTTTAAATGTATATTTGAAAGCTAAATATAATACGCAGATCAAAATATATAATGTTTGAAACATGGACACGATATCATTTGAAAATAATATAACATTTGATACATTGATCTTATTATTTTAGTAGTAGTTGCCTCTAAGAAAAGAAGCAAAAATAGCATGCTTTGCATTACTTTATAAATATTGTGGCTAACGAGGCAACAGGACATTTCGATTAGACAAAATAAAGCAAATGATCTAATAAGAGAGGCAATAATTAAGCAGATTTCATCATCTACTAGAAAGGAAGGTAATGTCAGATTAACTACAGACAAAAGTTCTCACTGTTCAAAATCAACAATGGACATCAAATACCCCAAAAAAGTTTAAACCCCACAACACACCTAGCTAGAGTGTTTTCATCATCGGTATACAAAACCGGAATTTAATTGAAAGCAGCAAAACACAAAAGAAACTGAACAAGAGTGTTAATGGACTTCGGCAATTACTCGGATTCCTTCACTGATGTGCAGATCAACCAGACATTGCCATAAGGATCAATCAGCTTTGACCCTGTACGAGCACCATCACCATTACCATCTCCTACTCTAATTTCAGCAATTGCGCCAGCAGTGATAGCGTTGGCCTCAGCAGAAATTACATTCTCAGTCTCCAAGCAGAAAACAGATCCAGTTGTAGCAGTCTTCAAACTGAACAATAAGCAGCAATACTATCAGCTTGACGAACGAAACAAAACAAAAATCATCACGCAATAGCAACCTCTCAGCCACATAAACAAGTAAGAAAACAACAATACATCACAATGATAAGGCTTTTGATTATAACATGTGTTTCTCCATATTTAAACAAGGTAATACGTGCACGTACAAGAGCATATCATCTCAGATCTGCAGCCTGAAACCACAACGACCGTAACAAACTAAATACGCATAGAAAATAGACGTAAATACAGATCACATGAAGCTGCAAACAATCATATAATACATTTAACATCCATAACCATGCAAAATAAACTCAGAGACATCGTCTCAAACTGATAACGCATACAAAAGAAAAAAAACAGAGCAAAATACACATAAACATCAACCATTAAATAAAACAACTCAACAACAGTAAAGCAGTACGTTTCTAGTGAGTAAATTTTAGGAAGTTAACCAGAGAAAACACTCCTTACATCATAATAAGTTTTTATAACATACTTTGCGAGAAGCACTCAAAATATTTTCAGTGAGCTCTTTGCAAAATATCTACATCACGTTTTGCTTCACAACAGAAGTATCTACCAAAAGGTTTCCAAGTTCTATTTAAGAAAATCAATATATAGCACTTTGAAAGCACAGATCGGACTATTTTAGAAATAAAAACGAAGAAATCGAGCTAACAAAACACAGTAAACAAGTTTAAAAAGCGCAAAAATAAGAAATACGTACGGAGCAGTAGAGTCCTCTTCAGTAAGGTCAGAGACAATGAAGGAAAATGAACCAATCTTAAGTTCAACAGAGAGAATGAGCGGTGTCTCCTGATCGGCCTTCCTCTTAGGGTTGTTCACACGTCCAACCTCCTCAGCACCAAAGGCATTTTTGTAGAACTGCACAGCGTCTATAGCCTTCGGCGCTTTCACGAACAGCTTCGGCTTCACCGACGTGAAGACGACAGCAACCTTAGTTGCTTCCTTCTCAGCTCCACCTCCATTATGTGCCTCCTCAGCCATTGATTCACTGCTAAACCCTAAGAGAGAGAAAACAAAAACGTACCGAAGAAGATGGCGGAGAAGAGGAACAGAGAGAGAAAGCGAAAATGCCAAATGAATTATGGATAAAAGTTGCAGAAATGCAGCTGGGTATTTATAGGAAGTGGAAAACCGGAAACGTTTTGTGCGTTTATTGGATAATTGCACATTTAGTCCTTTAACTATTAGTAAAAGTTCGTTTTAGTCATAATAACATTCAATTGAGCACATTCAGCATTTCGTATGAAAAAATGAAATTTTGTTTGCTCTAAACTGGTTTTTAAAGTTTGGAATTTATGTCAAGTTGAATATAAAAAAATTGTCTTTAAATACTGATTTTTAATAAACTATAATGTCATCAATTTATTTATGTAGTATACATATTAAAACGTTCATCTTGAGGCACTATTTGATTGGGTCATAATTAAAGAATTTTATTTTTAAGTAAAATATTGTTTGACAAGTTAAATCCAAAAGTAATGATACCATATTTTAAAATTTGAATGAAAATAATTTGAATAATTTATTTTAAAAGTATTAGAAGCACCATAAATTTGATGCAAATTATTCGTTGCATCCCTAAAGTATCGACAACCTTAAAGACACTCAACTGCTTAGATACACCTACGATAACAACATAAGATATCTAGTAGTCTCAAAGAAGCATGAAGTTCTTAATAAAAATCGAGAGAAGTATTGAAAATATCTCTAAATTTAACGAGAATTCATGGTGTATTTCACTAATGTTGAAAGACTTGAGGTGTATTTAATTTAAATAAGTCAAGTAAAGAATTGTTTTTAAGATTGTCAATAATTCGAGATGAAATTAATAATTTATGTCAAATTTAGAAATATTTTTAATACTTTCTTTTGTTTTAAAAACTTTAATGCTAATAACGATAAATTACATATTTAAATTTAAAATAAGTAAATTGTAGTGATAATTTGAATTATTAAATTAATTTAATTTTGAATCATCCTAAAATAATAAAAAAAAAACTAAAGTGGACATACAAAGTAATTAAAGGTTTTTTATTCTTGAATGGATACAATCAAAAAGGATTAAAATCGAAATTTATAAACATTTGAGGGACTAATCGCAAGATTTTCTCATACTTTCCCATTGAAACGTTCTGTTGGGTACAGCGATAGTAACAAAACAAAAGTGAGTAACGACAGCAGCAAATAAGCCCTCAGTTGTAAGTAATATTGCGAAATTGCCACTCATCGTTACGTGAAGAGAAATGTATAGGGGTATTTATGGCACGGTCAGTAAATTATTGTCTTTTTTCGTCCTTGTTAATAGAAGAGATTTTGCTTCTTCTTTTTTTGTTTTAGGATTGGACTTGTAAGCTGATCATTTCAAAACTTAAATTGTTACGGTATCTCTATATCAATAATTCATAATTAATAAATTTTAATAGCATTTTCTCTGTTCAAATTATGAGTTTAATTGTAAGATTTTCTCTTTTATTTCTATTAAATATATTCAGTATTTATATTGAAATTCGATCAATCTGAATCCCACTCACAGGAAGGTCTTTTCGTAACGAATGACCCTCGAAACTATAATTTATTGATATGCGACGTAGATCAGGATGATTAATGAAAGAAACACCAAATACGATCCAAACTTCTATTTAGTAAACATAAGTCGTTATCGCTCACTCGGCTGGATGTTAATTTGATTAATGGATAGACATAGCAGAAAAGAAAGGGTCAATTACAAGAGGAAGGCGGAGGAAAAAAGACGAGAAAACAAGACCCTGGAGGCTCACAGCTACGGTAAGGACCCATATTTTCATACCTAAACTCTGAAGTTTTCTCTTTCTTTTCTACTTGAACATTTACCTTTCGTTTATTTTTATTCGCTATACTG